TTATCTCCCCCACCTCACCTAACCCACGCCCCCCTCGCTTCCCACTTCCCTCCCTCAGGCTCACAGCAGTAAAATATCTTAAATCACTTTGTCCTCTACCTAGAAAAACTTCCTGACAGATCGTTTGGTGGACTGCACAAATCTGTTTCTTCTAATGACAGAGCTGAAGTATATTCTGCTTCTGTCTTGTTGACTTTGGAAGTGTGGGGCAGTGACAGCTTTAGTAGGCAGACATCAGGGTAGAAACACCAGGGGACAAATAGTGCTTTTAGATTCAAGAGAAATGAATCCAAAGCAATGAAGCTTTCCTGCTTTTTATCTTCCTTCCTGCCAAAACACTACTGTCACAGAGAGGATTCCTTGGGCTGTTGTGAATGTGCGTGGGTGTGCATGTGTGTGTGTGAGTATGGGGAGAGAGAAATAGCTGTCTCCTCTATATTCTGGACAGTACAGTCTTGTTTTGCCTGTAGCTGCTATCTTCAAAGTGACACAATGATGCTTCAGGGCCGGAGCGTCCCGACAGCGACCTGTGATGGCTGACTGCACCGACTCTCTGTACAAAGGCTGCTGCTCTGTTTGAAACACGGCCAGGTGACCAGAACAACACACACACACAAACACACGCACATGCACGCCCGCGCACACACACACGCACACGGGACATTGTCTTCAAGTCAATGTAAACCCAACCTGCAATGCAGGTGTAGAAATGTACAATTTTGTTTGATAAGGAAAGTCAGTTGTCCAAAACAAGTCTGAACATGGTCTCAGTATTGCTGCATGAATGTTCTACTTGCTCCATTCCCTGTGTCCTTCTTTTCCTTCTTTCTTTCTTCCATTTTCCAGGTACCTGCCAACAGCCATTCCATTTTAAAAGAAATTTAAAGGAGTCAGGAAATGTCAGGAAAGTCAGAAAATGTCTGGAATTTCTACAAGTCTATGAACCCTTGTGAACTGAAATATCAGTCACACATGAATTTTGTCTTGAATGCATCCTTGAAGACTGAATTCAATGTTCTGCTTGACATAAACTCATTTTAAACATCACAATGGAGTTGTTCAATATATTATCTAGGAAAAGTGTCGACATACGGGTAACAGGAAGTTCATCTCTTTGGGCTCCTTCTCAGAGTTGCAGTTTCTAAGCCTATCAGTATCAGTACCCCACGCAGGTCCTTCAAACTAGCCAGCAGCAATTAGCAACCACCAGGTGGAACTGAACATCTGCTGAGTAGAAAGCTACTTTTCAGTGTAACAGTGGTAAAAATAGAGGAGCCATGTTGTGACAACTTCCTGAGAGCAGAGTTTTAGAAAGAGCAGGAGTTTTTAAAGAGACAGAAGACCAATTTCAATGTTTAATTAAAAAGTCAAATACAAATTTGGATTAGTATTTGATATATAGTATTTTTATCACAACCTATGTTAACAGTTACTTGACTCTGCTATAGAATGGCACCGTGTACCTGGACAACACATAATATTCCCCTTTTATTGACTTCTTGCATAAACAAACCTATTCACTGTTTTATGTATTTCTTATTCCATAAAATAACAACAATTGCAAAATTGTGTGTTTTCAACATTAGCAGAACGTCAACAAAGTTTTGGATACATTTGTAATGGAAATGCAGCCATCACTGGACACAAATATTAATTTTTCCTAACAACTCTAATGAGGATTATTGGCACATTTTATTTGCTTTCAAAATAAAAGCTCTTAGTCTGCTGTTTGGGCTGCCAGACCTCTGGCTGTCTGAGCAGGTTTCATGCTTTGTCATGTGTTCTGCCTGTGGATGCTGCATCCAGGCCCTCTGTGGTGAAGTGTGCTGGGGCTCAGTGACAGGGTGGCCATCCCTGGCCATGTGGTCATGGAGTGGACTGATGGCGGGAGCTATTGCATACCCTGAAAGCCACGTTGCATCAGCTAATCTTGTGAATAATGTAGAATCATGAATAAACATATAAGAATGGAGAGAATCACTGTAAAGAGACCTGTCTTTTCTTTGTTTCCTCTCCTTTCCATCCTGCCTCCCTTTTCTGTCCACTCGTCTCTTTCTGCTCGTCTTTTTCTAAACCACAAAACCTTCTTTCTTTCTTCCCTCCCTGCCAAAATCAAACACTCCCACTTCTAGCCTTCCTCCCCCCTTTCTCTTTCATACCACCTTCACTCTTTTCTCCTCCTCTCTGGCCACAGTGGTGACAGACATTGTGCTGCTGTAGTAGTGCTGTGTCTCGGTGCGGACCGGCCGGGTCCGGCCCTCGCTCTCAGCTCAATAAAAGCCCGGGTTTCCTCAAAGGCAGCCATCCAGCCAGCACAAAGCCTGCCCACTGGGAAAAGACCCACAAAAGAAAGGGGTGGAGGGATTCTCGCCGTCTTTGCTCCGTCTGAAGCGGCTTGCCTCCACCACCTCGTATAAATAATACAACACTGCTTCAATAACAACAATACAAAAAAAAATAATTCTGCTCTGCTCCCACAAACGTCTGCCTCCATTTTCTCTGTCTTTTCGCCGTTAGTACTTGGGATTTTATCTGAGAAATTTCAGGAACAGATGGCTGCATTTTCTACAACACATACTCAGAATATTTCATCCATGTATGGTTGCAGAAGCTCAGAAAGACACAACTTTCAAAGCACAATTGTAAACACAGAGCAGTGGGACATAATTCACTCTAAACCAGTTCTTTGGGTTTGTAAAGTGTGCTTTCTGCAGTTTATGAAATAAAACACATTAAAAATAATTTCAATATATGACAGGTGACAGAAGTAATATGCATAGTAATACAAATTAATTCTAATTCTTTCAAAATGCTCATAAATTAATAAAATATACAATAATTAACCATTTGAGCTGTATGAATGTTAGTCCTAAAAACTTTCAACTTCTTTTCAAAAACTGACTTCTGTTCAACTTTAATTAAAGTTAATGGTAGAGAGATTTGTTTCTCCATTAAACGCATTTTTAGTAAGTAAAGGTGCATTTTGGAAAATAATTTAGTAAACATCCTTCAACTGCATATCTGGTGACACAGCCATGTGAACTTAAATTCTTCTTGAATAAAAAATAAACATGAACTTTGGAATTTAAAAAATGCTCCATGTTGAGAGCAAATTGTAAAGCTAACACCTGTCACGGTGCAGTCAAGATTTGAATGCATGATATTTACTGATGTCCTGCACAAACAATTAATGCTGAACAGAAAGCTTTATTTTGCATCAACTAAAGTATATATGAGGCTTTCTTTTCCAAATAATATAAAAATATTCAAGCTCAGAAAAACATCTAAGTTTTTATCCTTTAGCCAAATCTGAGTGTACATTACTACACCTGACCAAGACACTTAGTTTGTTAGACTCCAAGGAACTTAGCTTCTGCCACTTGTTCGATAAGTGTGTTATTTAATGACAAATGGATCATATTTAAGAGACTTCCTTCAACCAATTACTAAACGTTTTGTCTTTAATTTAGGTAATATTAACTTATTATCTGAAACCAACTGCCCAACAACTGTTAAGTCTTTGTTTAAGTTAAAATTGTTAATTTAGCATTAACAAGAACTCAACAATCAGAAGGTTTCTGTATGAGCTTTGGTCTGGTACAGCTGTGGGTATGAGTAATCTGTCAGTGTGTTGATGAAAATGAGAGCGGAGGGATTAGGCGGCGGCTCTCGTGGCCTGCCGGCCCGTTAGCATGAGGCCGGGACAAAGAGACTGATTTCAATGGAAATGCAGCAGCTGAGAGGACACAGCTCTCTCAGTGGGGTGACTTCCACCTTTCACACAAACACACAGAAACTACATTACCCTCCACATCAGGGATCACACACTTAATCATGCTCGGAGGAATAGAGGTATATTTTGCAGAAGCTGCAGTGAAGAGTTGACGTGGCTTTGCACCTGTCAGTGATTATATAGATAATCTTCTCCTCCGCCCAGTGCTGCTATTAGACCGACTATTATCCCCCACATGCCTGGCCTCCACGCCCCGTATTACATGCATTACTTTTATCCAAGCTGTGAATGAAAGATCCATCTGAAAAGAATGGAGCTCCCTGCTCTCCCATCAGATCCAAACCTACATCCCTTACTGCCTTCCCTTACAGCTTCAATGCAGAGAGCACAGATCTGATGACCAAGCTGGGGCCCAGAGCTGGACTCAGCTCGGTCACTCAGAGGAGTGACTGAGCCCCACCATTGTCAAAATAACAGTAGCTACATTTTCACAGACTATACATTTGTGCAAAACAAAAACAAATTTGCTTAATAGAAACATGGCAATTTCAAAAAACTTACATTAAAAACTGTAAAAAACTTTTGGCGTTAGGATGAAGTTGTTTTATGGCTGTATCAAAATCAGTGCATTTGAAAACACTTTTTTTCACATCACGAGTCACACGACTAACAACCTGACTAGGAATAGAGTTAGGGTTCTCCCTCACTGGAGTAGAACAGCCAAATAATAAATAATTAAGAAAGTGATTCTGACGAAAACAACAACTTAACTACTTTGGTCAGACATGTAAAAACAAACTCCAATAATAGTACTATTGCAATTAGCAATACTAAATATAATGCAAGTTAATTTATAAAGCATGATGTCACTCTTAGCACAGAATTAGACTGGATAGACCTGTTTTTTTGGATCAGGCATATTGTCACAATATCTCATCTAGAATTTTTTTTCAATATCTCAACGACGCAGATATTAACATCGGATTAAAGACTTGGACTAAAGACTTGATATTATTCACTGTTAAAGTTCTGTTGTGCCATTCACCAAGAAACTTACCTTTGAAATAAATAATAAAATGTAACCACAGCTGTGTGGGCCAGCTGAATGAACAGTAATTCAATCTGCACAAACACTTTTTTTGAGTTTTTGTATGCTATTGCGCAAAATACAAGTTTATCTCTGTATGTTGAAGTTTATGTTTGTGTGTTTTGCTGCAGCAGACCTCTGTATGTGGGTGTGTGTGTGTCCATGCTAATGAGCACATACCCGTCTGGCAGTCGTGCAGGATGCTGCCGCAGGTCAGTGCTTGCTGCCAGACGTTGCTTTCCCGTGGCTGTTCTTCCGTGTGCACACCTGTATGCTGTCCCCGCTCTCTGTCTGCAGCTTGACATTTGGTACAGTGAAGATAGAAGACACTGCAGGGGGAACAGACACGAGCTGGTTGGAAGCCAAACGTATTTTTCAAGCAAACATTTGAACCCCCCCCCCAAAAAAAAAACATCCATCCATTGTTTACACCCCCTTGTGTTTGCGGGAGGCTGCTGCATTTCACCAGCAATCATGGAGGTGAGAGGCAGTGAAAAACCTGTATCCACTTAACAGTTAAGTTAGGTTAAGCTGGGGAGAAGCTGGAGTACACAGAGAGAACATGAAAACTCTACAAAGAAAGATCCCCAGCTTGGGCTCAAACCCAGTATGATGTAAAAGAATTTGACTTTGTAACTGAACACCTTGAAACTGGGACTATTGCTTTAAAAATTTATACTTTTTTCTAAAACTCCTGCTTCAGGAAGTTATCACCACATCAATCCTCTATTAACCTTTTAGAAACATTTTTACCAGTGTTTTACTGAGAAGAAACTCCTATAATGAGCTCAGCAGATGCACAGTTCCATCAGGTGCTTGCTAATAACTGTTGTCTAGTTTGAAGGAGCTGAGTGAGGGAGTGTTGCTCTGTGAGACTGAAGCTGCAGCTCTGAGGAGAAGCTGCGCCTTGTAGACGGGGCTAGGTAAAGCCAGGTGTTTTGCACATCTGAATGGTTGCCATGGAGATTGAAAGATTTCTCAAACATGCATGAAAGAATCAAGCCAACACTCCATGTATGTCGATGATGAGAGAATAACATGATGATATTGTGAAGGTCAAAAAAGTCAGTTTTACAGAACAAAGACACATTTTCTCATTAAACCTCCCAGGGATTTTGTGTGATGTACAAGTTGAGCTGCCGCCCCATATACAAAGAATATTAGTCTTTGGTGGAGCTGTCCAGAGTTCAATTCTCGACACTAGAACTATCCCTGCTGAAAACACTAGAGGCAGAAAAAAACTTCCAGGCACTCTTCGGTGTCATTTTATCATTCCATCTATTAGGCTCACAGAAACATGGCGCTTGTAGTCTATCCGTTCATCTGTTCATCTATCCGATGCTTTCTGCTTTTCTGAGTTGGGATCTCAGTAATAAGAGGTTGGAAACCCAGACATCACTCTGCCAAGCAACACACTGACGAAATGTGAGGGATCCCAGGGCCTTGCCAGGGCAAAAGGGATATCTATTCCCTCCAGTGAGACCCTAGTTGGACCCAGGCTCTCCTCCCACAGGTCAATGATCACAAATCCTCTACAGAGAGGCCAGGAGATGCCTGAATCCCTCTTTTGATTCTGTTTGATGTGGAGGAGAAGCAGGTCTTTATCAAGACTTGATGGGAAGCTTAGCTCCTCTGCCTATCTCAAGCCATCTTATTTCAGCTACTAGTGAGGAAGATTCATTGTTCTGATCATGATCCATATCTCATGGCTGTAGTTGATGACAGTCTTGTAGGTAGAGAGCTTTTCTGTTTCTTTTAGCTCTTTTTTTGAACGCAACAGACTGGAGCAACACCAGCTCTACTCCAGACAATGTTCCTCATCTGATTACGTCCATCTGTTAGAAATCCAGAGCTGAATTTGAATTCAGCTGAAATAAGAGTTTTCTGGATGATAAATAACTCGAAGTTAGAGAGGTTGAGATGTTGAGAGGAAGGCTTCAGGGTATCCAAGAGTGTCCAGAATTGTCTCCTACTGCCTCCAGAGCAGAGAGTGCTTCTAACAGACAACAGCATCACTCATACATGAAAGACACTTGTTTAGTTTCAGCTTTGCTCAAACACTGCTTCCTGACTTCAGTTTTGGAATTTCCATTTGGGAGAAATTAATTTTCATCATTCACTGTGAAAAGAGCTGATGTTCTTCAAAAACTTAGAGCAGAGGGGGCCTGAAGGAGTTCTCTCTCAGTCCACATCAGCTGTTCCTCATCCAGTAGGAATCTGTTCTTCCTATTGTTATCCCAGGCTTAGGATCCACTCTGTCCCACTCACATCAAATTGAAAATGTTGCAGTCCAATCCCTGGACCTCAGGAGCTCAAAGACATTTATGGTTTCAATAAACCAGCCGTTGTTTCTCTGGGTTACATGATAACGCATAGCAGGGCAGAGAAATGAGAAGATTATTTCTTCATGGGACATTCACTTGACTTTGCATTGGTCTTCTTTAAACAATAAGTCAGTTCATCTGCTTGAAGCAGATGAGGCTTTGAATATATCTATTGGCTGCTGGGCTGTTCAGAAAAAAACAACCAATTCTTCTTCACTTCTCTAACAAGATACTAACATCATGACTTAACATCATGTCCCAACATTCATCAAAAGATGAATGCAGAAGCATGGTTAATAAATTAGAAGCTATTTTGTTGTCTTTATAGGACAGACCTGATTCATTCCAGCATTGTGATCAGTGGCTGCAAAAATATCATTCATTGGGCCACAAATAGCTCTCAAGCCACACTTTGGAAACCTCTTAAACATAGCAACTATCTCCAACATTGTCCAACACTGAATAGACAGCAACATAATCAGCTGAAAGGATTTATATAAAAAACAAATAACAAAAATGAACTTAGAGACATTTTGTAATAATGCCGTATTTTTTTATAACTATTATTGGTTTGTCTTACATAGAAACTCCAATCAAGATTTAAACACAAAAACTTATGTCTGACAAATGACAAATAATCAATTCAACTCTGTTGGACAGAAATCATCTCTTTTTTCAGAAATTTAAGTTTTTATTTCTTTCTTTTGAATTGAACTCCATTTGGAACATCAAACTGACTTTTCTTTGTGTTCAGGTGGAATAAATGGATGCCTAGAAATAATTGTTTTTAGTGACAATGCACATCTTTTTCCTCCTTCCCACTGCTGCAGCCACTTCACCATTTGAGTAATTAACTAGATTAACTAGATCATGCTGCTGTTTGTTTGAAACAATTCAACAATTTGTCCCCACAAAGAGTCAAAGTGAAAACACAGGTGTGAGGTACTTCGGTTTGATCCTTTTCCATCTTGGTTTTGGGAACTGTTTTATTCCTCATTCTGCTCTGCTGCTCTGCCAGAAGAGAACACAGTGAGATGAAGGCAGAGCGGGGAAAACAGGAGCGAGTGAGCATGACAAAAATCTAAATGAGCCATCTCCTTCCTGCCTCTCAGTCAGTGACCGCTGCTTTCTGCTTCTTTTTCAACACGACAGCCTGCTGGGAGCTGATAACAGGATTAATAATGCAGAAAAATCCTAATCGGGGGGAATTAAAAATGGAATTCTCCAATTAAAATTACCACCCTGTCAGTGGTGGCTCACTCAGGTCTGTTGAGCTGGCTTTTCACTGTGCTAATGAATAACAGCTTAAGGGATTGCTAATGTGTGTGTGCACCGTGTCAAAGAATATAGATAGGTAGTCATATCTGACATACTTTGATGCAACAACCCAATTCTGAAGGATTAATTGAAATAAAACCTGAATGTGAAGCTGTGGCTAAAGCCTCTAACTCTGAGATTCAGAATGCACAAGGGAAATGAGCCTCCAAACCCCAGGCATGCTGAAAGCTATGAGTGGTAAAAGCTAAAAGCTGTGTGTTTCTGAAATTTCAGAGCCCTGGCTTATTTAAAGAGAGCCTCAGTGTACTTTTCTCTGGGCAAACAACCAGTCAAGAAGACAGAAAATCAAACTGAGAACACTTGCAGGAGCCAGCAGAGGACCGGCTGGGCTTACTGTCCCAACGGTATCCGCATGATAAGACCGGCTTTCTGTGCATGATCAAAAACAAGCCCAGGTTGCTCCTGGCTGTCTTCCTCACAGACAGACCAGGACAGAGTGAAGAGTCAACACAAAAGAAAAGGACTGTACCAAAGCACAAAGCAGGGGAGGAAAAGAAAAAAAGGAACAGATAGCAAGCCTTTGTGTGACTGTCGGTCTCTTTATCTGTTAACCCTGGAGCCAAAAATGATGCTCAGGCAGAAATACTATGCACCAAACAAAATGAGCCACCAGGTGGTTATTCAGCTCTAAGATTTTAGTGAGTTGGATCAAATTCATAATCTTTCTAGCTGTGTTTTTTATTTATTTATTTTTTGTTAGTTTATGAGTTTAGTCAGGGCTGCACAGTGGTGCAGTTGGTAGCAGTGTTATCTTGCTGGAAGAAGGTCCTGGGTTTGATTCCCAGTCCCGGGGTCTTTCTGCACAGATTTTCCATGTTCTCCTTGTGCATGTGTGTTTTCTCTCCAGGTACTCCAGTTTCCTCCCATAAACATGTCAGGTTGATTAGTCTCTCTAAAAAGACTTTGGTCTTGTCTGAATACTCACAGTTTTCCTGCTGAAAGGTTTAAGTGCGTAGTGGGTCCAAGTTCTCCAGAGTGATCTTTTACCCCACCCATTTTCCACCCTTGATCCACAGTTTGGCTAAGCCTGAATCAAGGCGGACTTTGGTGAAGTGCAATATCACTTCACCAATTCAATAAATGATGTATCACAAAACAAACTGTGTCACAAAACAATTCTGTTTTCAAATCTAAAGTGCTACAAGAGTAACTGTAGCAGTGTGAATGAATGCTATCAAATGATATTCTCTAGTCATCAAAACCTCTTTGTCCAAATCTGAGGAAGGTGAGGAACCAACAGAGCCAATACTGACAGTCATCTTGTCTGAGTGGCATCCTGGTTTAGAACATTAACTGTTTGTTTTGCCGCTCAACCGAGCCAAGAAGCACCTCAGAATTAAAGTCCAGTTGTTTCAATGAGTGACACAACAGATACTAGATGTCAGTCTATAACAGACTTGTGTCAGTCTAGTGTCTGACACAACAGACACAGAACATGGAGTCTGGTTTGAGAACCAGAATCCATGTTTTCTGATCATTAGATTTGTAAGTGCTTCTTTAACTCAGTAAGTCATTAGTACATTGTCAATAGTATAATTAACAAAACATATAATTTTAAATTTCACAGATTATTTGTTTTCATTGATTTTTCTTTCTGTTCCTAATTAAAACTAAATGTTGAGCTCATGAAACTGATTGTGTTAAAAGCCTGAAGTACCTAAATGAAGCTTTGTCTTGTCTTCAACTACACTCTTCAACTCTGTGCTTCCTGTGTAGCGCAGTGCTAAACAGCTGAAGTGTAACAGTGTGTAAAAGTGGTGAGACATTAGGAGTTACATACTGTCCTGCAGCTCCCAGAGCCGTGGAGGAAGGTTGCTGAAGTATTCATGGTTGAGGGCCGCCTGTGCTGATAGCCGGTTCTTTGGGAAGCACTGGAGGAACCTGGAGGCCAACTCCTCAGCATGGTCCACGTAGCCCAACCTGACACATAAAACACACCCAATTAGTTCAGCTGATCAAAGAAACAAACATCATACAGAGCGCGGCGCTCTGTTCCTCTTCACTCACAGGATTGACATCCTCCAACTCATAGCTGCTGACTGCTGCTCATTACTTTGAAGGTTTGCTGACTTGAGAGGAGAAACACACACATGCAAAGGAGAGCGCATGCCACCAACTTTCTCCTGAGAGCACTCATGACGACATAAGATAAAAGTCCTTGCAGCAAGAGCCAAGAACGACATGAGTGTGTGAGTGTGTGCTGACAGTAGTGAACTTGTGAACCAGCCGCAGTTCGCAAGACTGAGGGGGAGAGAAAATAAACAGATGTACAGAGTAATTAGTGATCAGCTGCATTAAATAAACATGATGTTATTCAGTGGTACCGAGAACAACTGTAAAATCCTGAGGGTTCTGTTCCTCCGCCTCCCCGCCCCTCCGCCCCCTCCAACAGCTGCTCCCTTGCCTCCTAACAGGGATCTAAACTGGACTTATCAGCAGAAAAAAGACGTGAGGAAATAAATCTCTGCTCTGTACCGCTGCGCATGGATGCAGAGATAAAGTTAATGAAGTCCATCAGAGCCTCTGCTTGGTTCCTTCCCAAACAACTAAAAAACTTCAGCACAGATTTTTTAAAGGGTCACAAATCTGTGCTTAAGAATTGTAGATAAGAACTGATGGATTCTTAATTAGATATGGCTATTTATGTTAACATGTGCTGAACCTGTCAACGTGTCCTTAAGATACAGTTTGTTGGCAAAAGTGGTCACCCACTCCTGCAAATCATTCAGTTCTCCAATCAGTTCCACACCCACAGGTGTAGAAAATGCAGCAGCTAGTGATGCAGAATGTTTCTAAAACATTTGCAGAAGAACAAGTTGCACTCAAGAGAGCAATGAATTCCAGAATGGTACAATGATAGGTCACTTGTGGCACTTGTAATTTTTTGACTTCTAAATACTGTGCATTCAACTGTTTGTGGTATTGTGACAAAATACTGTAGAAGTGATTGGAGATGACAGATACTCTGCCATGAAGTGGTAGACCCATAGAGCTGGGTCAGTAGATGCTGCAGAAAAAAAGTGAGCAAAGGTTAACCATTTTCTTCAATCTATTGTTGCAAACTTCCAAACTTCATATACCGTTTAGATTAGGTCAAGAACTTCATGGAACAGGTTTCTATGGCTGAACAGTTACATCCAAATGATGAATAGCTCTAACATTCAGCAGAGATCTGAAGCACACAGCCAAGTGGCTTCAGGACCAGTCTGTTGGTCCAGCCAAATTGCAGAGTTGAATCCAACAAAACATCTCCAGTCAGATCTAAAACTAGCTACAATCACAGCTCAACCAACCTGACCCTGAAAACATGTGAGGTTGGTGAGCTAAGGATGGGATTGGTTAAAGCTGCAAAGTATAGAGCAAACGTTGTGTACATATAGTTTTTCTAGTTTTTATCTTTTTTGTTTTCCAATTAAAATCCATCCAAAATTGATCTTTTTTGGGGAGAAATGAAGTTTTTCAGGGGTAATCACAAAGCGGCAGAAACAAGTTTCACTTGCATGTTTCTCTGCAGCCAGAGTTTCCACTCAGATATGAATCAGTGTGAAATCACCTGGCTTTCATGATAATATTTGAAAGTTGATGTACTGTGTGCAAATTCTTTTCTGCTCCTGTTTCTATCCTCACCGAATGATTAGGGAAAGTTCAGTCTCACCCAGGTGATGAGGCATTGTCAGTGTGGTGAACCCCGCCTTCTTCACTGGAGTGTTACTTCTCTGAGTTTTTCATCAAAATAACCACAGGAACAAAACAAAACTCAAACACCCCCACCTCTACTACTTCTCTCTGCTACTTTTGTGTTTTTGATTTGTTGGCTTCCAAAGTGAGGCAGCCTCACAATGCATGTGCTGTTTAAAGACAAGTGTGCAATCAAGAGTAGCAGGTCAATACCTGTAACTGTTCTGAGTACAGCAAATGACACATGGCTTTGGTTGCCTGTTGACATTCTACACAATGGGAGAGACCTGTGTAATCAGTGCTGGTGTCACAAGAGGGAAGGTGTAGAACAACTTCACCCTTCCTCACAGTGAGGAAGCAGAATGTGTCTGGACCCAAGTGATTTGATGTGAAACAGAGATGACACAAGAAGTCAATATCAATGACTGGCTATGGACACACAGCAGGGCTTGATGCTAAATTCAGATTTTTGTGCTGGAATCCAATTTTGTTAACATAACTGTTCAAACTACTGATAGATGTGATAGCAATAAGACTTTGAAGTTACCCAGCAGCATTGTGTTTATGGGAGAAACAAAGGACGGCTATGGATCAATTTTAAGCGTTTACTCAGCAATGGTATCCAACAGTATTGTCTCTAATTCATAACAAGATGATGGAAGCCAATAAAAATAAAGTATGACTAATGAAAATGCTGAAGTCTCTGCAGTGAAGTCTGTTTGGATGTGTAGTCAGAGCCAAGAGAGGTGGGATCATGATGTCTAAGTGTCACACACTTCTATCATAATTTCATAATTATAGTTTCAGCCATTGCTTACATCCAGATTTACTATGTCTAGCTTCTATTGTTGCAGAATTATGAGGCATGTCTCATGTCAGTCACGTAAAAGCTGGATAAAAATCGACATGACCGTTCAGACTGCAGGTGCTTTGACAACGAGGAATACATAGCCAATTCAGTACCGCGTACGGAAGATATTTCCATCATGAGTTTTTAATTCTAACCATTTAATTTTTGGTTCAGCCCTGAATCATTCTGCATCACCACATATAACCATTCTATTACAGCAATGAAAGGAATTTGTGCTGCTGTTGTGGAAACAAAGGTTAAGTTTGTCAGTGAATTCGACTCAAATCTAATTTTTTTTTGCTGTGTGTGACCTATATCCAGCTTTTTCATGGCTGTCTGAACAGTCCAATTCCAATCTTTTCACCCCCCAAAAAATCTAATTTGTACCACTTGGTTTCATGAGATAGAACTCAGAAAATATTAGGTCTTATCAATCATTCAAACAGCTTCTGAGGGGAAAACCAGATTGGTGTAGGAAAACTTTTTAAACCTTGTGTGTTTTTGTTCTGAATCCAGTTAACATTCAACCTATAGGTATAGATTCAGAGCCACATAAAGTTCTGCCATTTTTGAGTAATGAATTTACTGTAAATTTACGAGAACAAAGAATAATAAACAACTTTACTTGCGTGGACATTATGAAGCAGCTTTTGAGTTAAAGTAAAGGACTCCAACCTTTATGGTCAAACAAAAGTGTGCTATGAGAAATGTCTGATCATACCATGCAAAGGAAAAAAAAACAAAGATAAACGCCATGAACCCTGGCAGACCGGCTGCACAGATGTTATGGGCATTTTCACAGCTGGAGGAAGAAAGCGGCTGTGAGGAAGAAACACGAGGGGTAAGATGGGGTGAGCCAGCGCTCAGGGCTGATACAAAATGATTGTATATATGTTCATATCAAATTCACCGTTTCCTGGCTGAAGATGAAAGGCGGCAGAGAGGAAGTGATTATCATTAACATTCCGCTTTGCTTTCTTTGTTCATATTTTGATTTCCTCTTGGACGGGAACCGGACTGGGGAGTGGACCTGAAAACAAAACACTAAAACTCACTGTTCTCACAATCCTAGAGTTTTACTTCACTGCCTCTGGGAAGCAATTGTTTCTCAATAGCAGAGTCCAGACCCTCTGGATGAAGCAAAGTGTAAAATATGGGTCTAGTTTTTATCAGGTCAGTAAACCCTAGAAGAGGTTGTACATTCCTCATAGCACTACTGTAGTGTCTGTGATGTCTGTCAGACAGTCTTTATTTTCGACTATCTAACCAGGTTTTATGAGGTTGAGCTTTGTTTTCTTGTCAATATTTGATCAAATAGCCACTTTTCTGATAGCTCTCAAACAGGAAACAAATAAAGTTAATGTACAGATTTGTTTAAAGTTAATGTACAGATTTGTTTAAAGTTAATGTACAGATCTGTTTAAAGTTAATGTACAGATTTGTTTAAAGTTAATGTACAGATTTGTTTAAAGTTAATGTACAGATCTGTTTACATCACAGTTAGAGACCCTGGGATACATGTAGCTGCATTTCTATTACAAATGTGCACAAATTGATATTCTCCTAATGTCAAAAAACCCCACAGCTGCAGTGTTTCCATCAAATAACAAATGAACGTTAAATCACACGTGAATAGATTTGCTCAAGCAAGTCATTAAAGATCATGGCAGCAATGGATGAAAACAGTTAGGTGGAATATATTCAGAATTCAGTCATGGCTCATCATCAACCAATCAGAGGAGACGTCAGCATCTTGGAATCAATAAAAATAATAACTTGAGATTCTATATTGCGATTGTATATTGCGACAGACTGGCGATCTGTCCAGGGTGACCTCACCTCTCACCTGAAACGTTTGCTGGAGGTAGGCATCAGCACCCCTCCTGACCCCACGAGGGACAAGTGCGTAAAGAAAATGGACGGATGGATGGATTCTAATGTATATAAAAAAAATTGAATATTTGGTAGATGATAATCAATGATTTGTGGGAATTCTTATACTTTACTGATTAGAGACACAGAAGATCCCCAGAGGGATTCATGACACAAATGACCTCTTTAATTATCAAGAATCCCAGGAGGCACTATGTCGGAGCAGCCATGTGTGATGAGGTCGTTAGCTTAGTGGGGATGTCCCTTTACTGTAGCAGTTCCATGGTGTGATCCCATCTGATCAGACTGCTGCAGTTTTACATAAATCAGTTTCCCTGTGGAACACAGACACACTCCTCCTCTGCCCTCTGTGGTTTTGTGCTCCAGATGTTCGCCTGGAGGCAGACAGCAGCAGCCCAGACGGTGCCACCCTGCCCTTTTCCTGCCATATGGGCCTGATGTCCCACAGCAGAAAATCTAGCTGTGGTTCAATTACAAATGTGCACAAATCTTAGACAATATTCTGCTGATGCCAAAAAACAAACACAAAAGAAAAAAAAATGTGTTTTTTCTATTAGATTCAATTAAAATTATACCTGAATAAGTTTGTTCACATGATAAGTCATTAAAAATCACGGCAGTGGTAAATTCACATCCAGCATGTGACTCATGTAATGCAAAAAAGTGTTTAAACTGCAGTTCAGCAAAATCCATCTATTTCAATACGGCTGAGAAATCACCTCATCCTACCAATACCAAATGTATTATCAAGAAAAAAAATGTTCATAAAAAAAATTCCATTATGCAAGTTTATTTTTGTAATTTAAATCTGCGCAATTATATGATTACTAGAAACACATCTTTTGATGTAAAGACTGCAGGAAGGAAGGATGGAGGCTCCATTAGTGCCACTGATGTACATATACCAAACTAAAAACAAACATGCATATACCTTTTTTCTTCTAAGTCTAAAGTTAAATCAGACCAAACTTCTCTTGTTTTAGGTGAGTTAGAATTACCCAAATTATTTTTGTTTGATAAACTCGACAATAATGGGAGAAAAACATGAATGCATTTGATATTTTTTTTATTAATTTATATATCTTTTCTTGTTTCTTTTGTTTTGTCTGATTCCACTGTACTTCAGTAAAACTAATGGAGCTTCTATCCTTCCTGAACAAATAATGTGTTTCCTCCACTCTCTCTAGATTTTCTGCTCTCAAAGAGAGAGAGTGAGACATTCACACACACAGAACAAGTGACTTAAGTTAAGACTTACTTATTCCACGCTTGTCGAAGCTTCTTGGCGCTGTACACTGTAAAGCGTTCTGCAATGAAAGAGAGAAAAATCACCTGCTATTAATATCTGAACAGAATATTTAGTCTCCCAATACAAAGTAGGGCCAGATTTCAAACAGTAACCCATCATGTCCAGATCTACAAAAATTCAAGAACAAATGATGAACAAAGTAATCGACCTTTCGCCATTTCAGGCTGGAAACGGCGACAAAGCTTTTCTAAGGCTGTAGGACTCCAGAGAACCACAGTGAGAACTGAATGGATAAAGCATGGAACAGTGGAAAACCTTCCCAGAAATGGCTGAACCCCTAAAACTATTCCAGCAGTTCATCAACAACTCCTCCAGGAAGTTACAGCAGAACCCGGAACAGCACCCCCATCTCAGTTCAGGTCAAAGGTCACGATTCAATAATAGCAAAAAGAGACTTTATTCACATTTACAAAACAAAAAAACAACAACACAGATTTACAACCAGACACGTGTCAATTCAAAAGTTCAGGCCAGAATTCTATTTTAAACAAGTTGGTTTTAAATACTTGTGTTAAAACCATGACCATAGTATCTTTACTGAAGGTAATCATGTCATGAAAATCCCAAACAGAGTTAGAACCAAACAGTATGTGAGGACCCAATGTTATGGAAGGCATCAGCCATGGTCTTCTGGCTGTTAGGTTGGAGTCTAACAATGTTAACAAACACAGTTTGTATTAACAAACTGTGTTTGTTAATACAAATTCGTGTTTGTTAACTGGCAGGCATTTATTAGCACTAAATATGTGCTAATAAAGTACAATATCATACAAGTGACAAAACGACAAGTTTCTGCAGCCACATGCAGATGGAGGAAAACAAAGGTTTAAATAAGAATGCAGTGATGCAGTGTTTAGGTAGCAAGAAAATCCAGATGTCCAAAAACATAAAATCCTATGAAAACCAGGCAGAACACTTTCTGCAGTTTCCTGGAAGAACAATTTTCATTTCAGGGTTGTTCTGCGTATAAATCTGTCAAACAGGAGAGTGTCTGATATCAGTTCAGATATGTTTTTAAATAATACCATCTGAGCTATGTGCTTCAGCTACGAGGCCAGACCACATGAAATTGTCATATTTTTGCAGAGTTTGGTTAGGCAGCCTCTTGATTTTTCCACAGCTATGTTTGCTATGCTGGGAGACTGGGAGGCTCAGCCCTGCTCTCTCAAGCTCAGCCAAAGCTGCCATGTGCACTCACAGTCTGCCTGCCAGCTGACCAGCCACTACACAGCCTTCGCCAACCACCCAGCAAGTCAGTCACACACTGACGCTCTAATCCTCATCACCAAATACCCGGCCAGAGTCTGGCATCAGGGCCAACCTGCCAGTGCCGAGAGTCCACCCTCCCAGCTTCCAGCAGGGTGCCGGCCGAATAGAACCCAACACCGGACAGCGTCGTGTTTTCGGACTGTCCAAACAACAGCCTGCTTGTGTAACAATCCACATGTGGATTAAAGAAAAGACCTGTTCATAACCAAGATGCTACACTACAATAGTGAGTAAAGAAATGCCCTTTAAATAACCACACAAATGTGTCAAGATCAGGCAGAAATAACTCCTCCGTTCAGAAGTGAGGTCCAATAGTGTGGCTGCAGTGGATTCTGGGATCAAATGAAAGGTAGGGAGTATTAATGAGCAGACACAGGAGTAATGATGAATAAGATGATGAATCATGAGCTGAATGTGTGTCTTTCTGTTCTAATGGGTACTGACTCAGAAGAGGAGCTCAGAGGAGCTCAGCGGTCCAAAGTGTTGCAAAGCTGCCATCTGCTGGCGATTACTGTCTCTGCAATGACTCATGAGGGAAGTTAACCATTGAAAGACAACCTTATACCTTCCAGCATATGTCACATCAACATAGTAGAGTTTTAGTTGTTTCAATTACATGACCAACATGGGCATAAAGTGGTCAAACTAACTGATGAAGCCTTCTGGATTCCCTGCTCCATCTAATACCAGCAGAACCATCTTGCTTTGTTGACTAAAAGATTTGTTTCTTTTTCCCAGTATTGCGGTCCGGTTCTTATCGTTCACATACAATCTCTGGTTGCATACAGTCTGTTCAATAGTTTATCACAGAAATAATACATTGGAAGTTTATGTTTTTGTGTAAAACATTATTACCAATGTACGCACTGGTTTTTCACTTTTTAATTAACTGGTATGCCATAAACAATTGCTTACATGAATTGTTTATGGCATAAATTGTTTATGGCATAAACAGATGAAACTGAAGGAATCAGTTTCATCTGCTTCTGAAGTATTAGACTTTTGTAGGAACGTAGATGCATAAAGTAAAACTCAAAAAGTACTGCTCTTTTCTAACTTTACTTCACAGACAAATGTAGCAAGACATTTGGGCAGCATTTTTAACTGTCAAAGTCAGTTCTTCAGTGAAATGTTGGGATGGTTCATTATGGTTCAGATTCATTATTCATATTAGTTTCAAAATAATCCCAGATGGTTGTTTCTTTTCCTACACTGTATTTATCACAGGCTTCCAGGAACTGCAAGCATGCTGGTGTTATCATGTCGAGGTATTAATCACACTCTGTGACTTTCCAAACATCAACATGTGGTTGTGTTTCAGCAGAACATCTGAGATAGAATCTCATTCTGCCTATATCTGCTGGAGGCAAAGTCACACAGAGCTTGAGGCATTGCCAGGCTGAGCAATGTGTACCAATATATGGTGACATGAGACGTTTGCTTCATTTATACAGTGCTTGGTCCAACTTCAATTTGCAGTTAAGTTCATTACATTAGTCAGAGCCGTAAAAAGACGTCAACCTGAGGAATCCCACAAATTGTATATTTGAGGGGACAGAACAGATCAAACTTTTTATGTTAGATAAGTAACAACGTAATGTTACAGTAAAAAGAAGTAGAAGCTCCTTTACTGGCTTTGGCTGGAACAGAAACACATAAACACATCAGTATCATCACATAAAAGAGAGAATGTGCATTGCTCTTCCAGTGGCTTTGTCTAAAAGAGAAACAGGTTAGAGCGTCAACATTTACAGACACCATGGAGTAATTAGTTTTTATCGGAGATGCAAATATTTCAGTGTTGACCAAATTAATTCCAATTATTAGGGTTAAAATTAAATTCAGAAAGGATTTTTCACAAAATCAGTTTCTCAATTCAAACAGAGACAAAATGTCTCAGTTGAGACCATCGAAGAAAAAAATGAAATTCTGTAACTTGAATTACCAGTCTTAGTTATTAAAACTTAGTTACTTTGCTTTTTCAAAAATAAAAAAATATTCAAAATATATCTGGTGGCTGAGATGGCTTCTATGGAGTAATGCGATATGTCACATTACACACCGCAAATACGAGTGGTAAAGATGAACAATTTAGATTTAAAGTTGATTTTTGAGAATTTTGAATTGTTTCATAATTCCCAAGACTAGAAACTGTGATTCTTTATGGAATTTAGTTTTTTTCTCCACATCTGTTTATTATAACTCACCTCCCTGCAGAAAGTATTCCCAGACTAATAATGTTGTAAAGTTCATGTAGAGAGAATAAAACCCAGAAATATTCAGTTTCTACAATAACTGCAGCCATGAATGTTTTGAAAGTTGTAGGAGAAAGTAGCAGAGTGAGTAAAAGTGGTCCATTTGTCTTCCGGCAGAGTGACCAAATTCTTTCTAGACAGCTCACAGATGAAGACACAAAGTGTAAAAAAAATTTTTTCTCACTTTTATTCACTATTCAATTACTGTGAGTCTTGTTCAGCATAAATGTTGCCTCATACCTCCTGATTTTAGCTGGTCTGAGTTCTATGGTGCAACATTTTGTTATTAGGGTAATATCTTATGACCTTGTTAAGTTGATGTTCATGTCATTATAATTGTCGATGACATTTTTCAACACAATCCAGTCTTTTGATTCTAGGAAAATATGCACAAACTTTTGTTTCATCTCTACAGTTCAGTCACAGTTTTGAGAGGTTTTTGCAGCAGTGTTTTCTGCAGCAGGGCTGCTGGAGGGTCCCCTCTGTATTTTTCTTGTGAACAGATTAAATATATGGGATTCCTTTTTTTTTCCCATTTGTTTTCTCATCTTCCCCTCAACTTTCTGAGGATCAGCAGGGAGCCACTGAATGAGAAATATGAGTTTTGATTGATGGTAGTTTGGAAGGTCTGACACACCTGTGGTCCACCTAACTGCTTCCAAGCCAACGCTGTCACCATAGAGACAGGACGTGAGCTCACATTAGCATGGGCTGTGTGTGCATGTTGGTCCCTAATTGGCCACTGGAGATTGGAGTCTGGGTCACAGTGTACCTTAGAGATGGCTGCTTGCCCACCACCCTCACCTCTTTTTATCTGTTTCTGTCTCCCTCCCCTCTCCTGGATCAGCTGACACTAATCTGCAATTGGCCCATAAAAAGTCATGGTGAGCTCCCAGAAGGCATGGCTACCAGCTGGAAGAACCGGTCTGCTGCAGCTGCTGCTACGATAAAGGAGAACAGTCAGTGTCTCATGGTGTTCTCTCATCCCTCTCTTTACTTTCAACACCTGCTTCCTCCATTCGGGGTGGTGTAATTGCTGCTCCCTGTCTCCACCAAACACTTGGGTGGACAGATCCGTCACCCATAACAGGGTCGACTTCTTTTTCAAATTCTTAAGGAATAGCAGCACTCAGGGTAATTCAAAATATTTCACAGGAAGAAGAAAGGAGGAGAGACAGAAGATAAAACAGCTTGAGCGTTATCACGTAAAAGAAAGAAACACTTAGATTTTAAGTCTCTTTAAAATTTTAGTAAATAAAAAATGGAGGACACATGAAAGCATTCTGTATTAATCCTTGGCCTTGGTGGGTTAGCTGCAGAAAACAGTTCCGATGAGGTTTTCAAGTCTGATTTAAAGAAGTCAGCAGTTTCTGCAGATGTTTTTCATGAAGCAAAAACACTAAATGACTCTTCATCTCAGCAGGCAGAAGATCTGATGAGCAATGGGATGTACATGGTCTGCACCTGACCTGCAACTATTCTCTTCAAGCAGGGTGACAGTGCAGTAATTATAGAACTGGTGGAATTAGAACGTTAACTCAGCAGGTCTTCATGCTTATTATTATTTTTTGCATGGTCGTTCAAATTGTTCAAATCAGCGATCAGACTTCTGTGAACAGTTTAACCTGGGATGTTACAGTCTGTTTATAGCGCTCTTTTTACACAAGAAAAGTCGGTCACTATGATTAATCAATTACCAACTTGGTAGACTATTATTTCAATAATTGAACTATTTTAGCCCTAGACTAACACACATTGGCCACAAATAGTGAAAAAGAAAGTCTATTTATTTATTTGTCATTTATTTGTCCTTCAAAGTATGTCACTTTCATTCCTGACTCCAATGTTCTTTAAAATCATATATTTTTACTTTTTTAATGTCTGGATATAGTCTGTCTTTGGGTTTCCAGAACAAGACGGTGAGCTTGGCTAAAACGGTGCCAGGCTGGCGATTTCCCCCACAGAGGCCAGTCAGAATGAAAACAGTGTCGCCCTCATTCATTGGTTCTTAACTCTTATGTATCGATGGCAACATTAAGGGCCCGGCTTCCTGGAGGTGATCCTAGTAATGATGAACAGGTCTTTAGTAAGTTTGATCACCTCCATAAAATACGTGCAGCTCTGTGGTGTGTTTATATGTTGCTAGGGATGAATGACCTCATCAAAGGCTGCTTTTCTAAAACCAGGGAAAGTTTACAGGATCAGTTCCAAACTATTTCGAATCCAGTGGAGAACATTCCAGACATTTTCGCAACTCCTCCCTGAATATTCTAGAGTCTAATGGGAAGTCATCTGTCAGATGGATGAAGATCGACTTACATTGAATCTTCAATGTCGTCAACGTTGAGCGATAAAGTCCTGCTTCACACACTGCTCATCTGAATTAGATCAACTTTCTATCTGGTTTCATCTAAAATGATGGATTGTATTTTGGTAAGTTAAGTTTCTAAATTTATTTAATAAAGGATAATTAGTGTTTTGTTTGAGATATAAACCGGACTGAGCTTCAGAAAGACAGCTCCACAATTTACAGCCATGACCTTTAACAGCTCCAGCACAGCTTCAAGAGAAGAAATGTCCCACCTGCTTTAAAGTGAGGCAGGGAGTTAACGCCAGGCCATGTTTCCTCAGACGGAGTTCCAAGAACCTGACAGAGACATGAACAGAGAAGAAGTCAGCACAAGAAAATAAAACATCTTCATCACTAAATACTTTCAAAGTGGTTTATATCCCGGAACTTGTTCACATTGTGTGATAAACTGCAGTAAAGTTATGCATAGTGTGGATGGAAAGGAAAATAATTAATGATTTCTACTGTTCTAACATATCTCTGGCTGTTTGTTCACAGACTCAGGGTTGGATTTAACTCTATCCATTCAAAAACTGAAAATCACAGATAAATGTTGTATGCGACTTATAAAGCCAGCTTGTTGCCCTGGATTTCAGTCAGGAGAGTCAGTATAAAGGAAGGTAAATACAAATAAAGGCACAATTTTCAGATATTCATTTGAATTGAAAGTAAAACCCAGTCATTTTCAGTCTTCTTCACAATTAGAAACTATTTTGTGTTGGTGAATTCAGAAAGTTAAATTAAGCATATTAAGCTTTGTGACAACATGTGAAAAAAGCTCAGACAGCAAGGGAATTCTTATAATATGTATTATGAAGAGTAAACACATGAACATATCTTTGCTTCTGAACAATAGTATCTATAACAGTTTGCATAAATCTCAGAGTGAAACTCTGTGTTGCTGATAAAATGTCGTATGTACAATGGATACAAAATGTTTTTTCTGATATGAAATGTATGTGGATGTTAATCCATCTAATTTTAATGATGGTAATCAATGACAAGGTTTTTAAAAAGTGTTGTGTTGTTCGTAGAATAGTCCTGATTGCTGCAACTTTTATAGGCGACTCAGGCTGAGTTCTCACACACACAGGTTGGGTTTATGATGAGAAAGCACAGACCAGCGGACATGCCTTAGACATGATCCATCACAGCTAAGCAGCATAATAGTTTCCAGATTGCCTACATGTCTTAGATCAGCAGCACACTCCGCAGAGCAGAGATTTAAGCAGCTTACTAAGAACACGACCTATACAGAGATTGGATGACAGTATGTTTGTGGGAGCCATCTGTTTCAGGTGGGTGTGTAGAACAGCTGAGAGACAAAAAGAGGACAAAAACTAAAAGAGGCAGTGTGAGGTTTGCTCTATGTACAGAAAACATAGCTCTGCTTAGAGTCTGGCTTGACTGGACTCATTTTCCTTTTTCATTACTCCATGTATTATACTTTAAATGGTCAAAAATATTTCCTCTTAAAAGACACAACAAAAGAAAATGATTTGATGCAACCCAGAAGGTTGATGCAATAACAACAATCACCCACCAGAGGGCAGTGTGTTCTCACAAAACTTGCTTCATATCATCAATTTTCTAAAATAATGGCCCAAGTCATTTTTGATCAAAAGTGATTCAGGAAAGAATGAGAGCATAAAACATCTTGAGTTGGATGACGGATCTGTTAGACAGAATCAAAACAAGAAGCTTTGCATCCAACCCAGAACCTCAGCAGAGCTTTAGGTCTGTAAATGCAGGTCCATGGATGATTAGCCCAAAGTTGAAGCTCTGGCAGCATTATTTATTGTGTTCATTGAGCAAAGTTGAACTTGAACAAGTACAAAAGTTCTGCAGACAAATCAAGAACATTGTCAGAGTTCCAGAGTTGAAGAAGCTCCTGATTTGAATCCACTGGTGACTCTGTCACTGGGAAAATAGAGACAGAGACAGAGTGACCATTCCATTCAGACTGGAACAAGAACATGCCCCAGTGAAAACATGTGCAGAGCCAGTTTGGATCATTTTAGGATCAATTTACAGTTTGTATTTGTTTGACTTTTTTGTTGTTCATATAGTTAGATTTTCTGAAACAGATAAAGCTGCTAGAGTGATTTAGGGGTTCAGTGTGGCATCTGAGTGGATGTTTGGTTGACAAAGCTCAACCTCTTCTGCATTATTGATGCAGTACTTTGGTGACCTTTAAAGTGATGGGAGGCTGGTAGTGAGAGGGAGGCTGGTAGTGAGAGGAAGGCATGGCGGTGAATGTTCAAGGTTTTATAATGATGGAGACGAGGAGCAGCATCAGCAGAACTCAGGATTGCTGCATTACAGGGAGCAAAACAGACCTAAAGATCAGCCATTTAACTGGCTCCCTTCCAGAGGAACATGCACTCTGAATACTAGCTCAACAGAAACAAACACTGATAAATGTCACTTTATGTAACACACAGGAATGCACTCACAATTAAAGAGAGTACTGAAAGTTACATTTACAATTCCTATGATGAGTTGAGACCAACTCGTATGGAAGAGGATTAGGACCATCTGAAATATCAGAATTTGTTAATGAAAACAAGGTAGAACATATTTATAAATGGGAAAATAATATTTCTTAGCACTATACACTGGTTCCATTGGTGTTTTGAAGATGACTTGTGTATCTGGTTTAGGCAATCTTCCCTGTCTGCATCCTCGAAGGACAGAAAATGTCAATGTTTCTCCAGGCCAGTGAGCTCCAGGCCAAGTACAGGCAGGATAAAGGATGTGATGAAAGCCAATGATCAGGGAGCCGGGAGGAATGTACTCATCCAGGAACATGAGCCAGCATTGGGACAGGGCATGTCGAGATGGAGATGGCTTGTTTTACTGAGGAATTCATGTGAGGTCACAGGGCCTGACCCCGCTCTACACACACATTCTGCTGCACACATACCACCCCTCCACTTCCATCAGACACCCAGGAAGGCTGATAGACCACCCAGTCAGGCATATCTGACCTTCACTCTGGGACCCCCAATTATATTTCTGTTGGCAGAGAGGGAGTGAAGATGTTGGAGCGGTGCGGCTGGCGACTGCGCTGAAAGCAGGTCACAAGGACAGCTGACAGACTGACAGGAGGTGTGTGAGTGTGTGGACTGAATCTGGGTCACAGACTGTGTCCTGCCTCCAGTTTTACTACCACAGGATTCATTTCCCATAACACAGAATTAAAAATCATTCTTTCAATCATTCAGAATGCTTGGCAGGTTTGAAATTCCATCAAACTGTATTCCCAACAGCAGGAAGTGTGGCTCCACATGAAAATCACAACATTCTCATCCTCAGCATCCATTACAAGGCTGGTTGAATATGTAATGATATTAAGCAATATGTGTATTTAACAGCCATATTAACCACAGGAAATGCATTCTTTGCCTTTATTATTCCTGTAGAACATCTGGGTTTGTTCAGTGATTTCATCATGGATAGTGGAGAGTCACCGTTTCTGACTCAGATGTGATCTTTTTAAATCAGATGATCTCTGATCATTTGGATCACTCGTGTGCATTCATTCATGTTGACAGATAGAAGCTTCATGATGATGCCCGATGAAATCAATTTGATCAGAAAATGCACTTTTCTGCATTTATATAAATCATTTGATTTGTTGATTCAGTTAATATGGAATTACTTATACAATATTGTAAGAGCAAAGCTTGTACTACTGTAGTTGGGTAACATGGATATGTCTATTTCAAAGGGAAAAAAATATTGATAATTTGTTCATTCCTTCCTCAGATTAGTAACTGTTGTGTTCGTTTAGGTTGATATACAGGTAACAGAAGCCTTAATTATTTTTTTTTTTTTTAAAGTTAACATTTTCTTACTGTTTCTACCAAATAAAAAAGCTTTTAAAACAGTTACATAAATCTCTAAATTAGTAATTATTACGGAGGAAATTGTGACTAACCTGTTCAAAACCCAAAAATGAAAAGTTTAGTATTTGGACTCGACTCGGTCCCACCGTGGTTATTGCTCTTGCAGCCATAACCACTGGTTCAGAAACAGCTTCCCTTTGATCTATAACAGCTTTTGTGCCTCATGCTAACAAAAACTGGATCAAATCTCTGTAAACAGACTTCACTGTTATCAGAACAGTGCCAGTTTTTCTTTTATATTTCACCAGATCTACTCACGCTTAGCAGCAGTTCTGTTTCTGTAGAAACTGAACGTTTTCTGGGTTTTTCCGGTTAGAATAGAACCTTCCTCAGATATCAGCTCTTTAATCGCAACAAAAGCCGACCTTCTGACTCTGGCCCGGCTGCATTCCACTCCGCCTCATCCATATTCTCTAACACTGACCCCATGTCTCAGCTTCTCTGTTCCAAAAGTAATTTCCAACTCTCTTATTGGGGTCAACCCTGGGGTGTATGGGTCAAACCAATCAGAACCACAGCCAACTGGATCAGCTGTATCCCACTGTGACTGGGTGGAGTGTGTTCTGTAAACCCTAATGTAGGAGACACAAACACAGTGGCTGACTGTGGGTGAAATGATGCTACACAAATACACACACACGCACACACACATACACACTTCTCTGTGGCCAGCTATGGGTGCCATGCTGTGCCTTTATGTGCTGTGATGAAGTCCTTCATGGTTTTTCTGAACTCCATCTTTTAGAAAATATTCTACTTGAAGTATGCTCTCTTTCTCCAAGAAGCGGCTTAGATATGGTTATGATTTATATTTTTTTTATATTCCTTCGCCACAACACACTGGAACAAAGCTGAGCCCATCGATCTATAGTCCCACCCCCATCTATGTTCATGATCAAAAGACTGAGAATAGCAGATACAAGTAGCTGAAATCAGTTTTCTCTGCAGAGTGTCTGCCTCTCCCTTAAAGAAGGGACAGAAGTTTGACCATCTGGAGCGACTCAGAGTAGACCCACTGCTCCTTCATGACGAGAAAAGCTGATTGAGGTAACTCAGGCCTCTAGTTATGATGCCTCCTGGACTCATCCCTGGTCAGGTATTCTGGGCTAGTCCAGTGCAAACCAGACCTCAGCTATTATAAAACAATTGCTTCCTGGAGCCATGAATCTGATTTGCCATATCGCTGACATTTTCTGTGTTGTATGTAATGCGCCAGCTATGCTATGAAGCTAACTGGAAACTAAGTGTGCTGCGAACAACCATTAACCACTGTGAAGAGAAATGCCGAGCCAAATTACATGTTTGCCAGGAAAAACATGTCTTAGGCATTCCCCTTACTTCAACTTTGATTTCTCAATATTTAGAAGGTGGCCAACACAAACTGAA